TTTCTTTTTACCGTGGTGGATAAAAGTCCATGTTTACAGGATACAGCAAACTAATAATTTGGGAGAGAGTAAACAAATATTTTAGGGTGTTCCTGGCGATTTGTTGATTTGAGAACAATTTTCACATATTTTTTCCTACTTATTTACATCTTTATTTCAAAAGTTTGATCTGTTTACATCTTTTCATTCTTAATTGCGGTAAAATACATATAACATAAAATTTACCATCTTAGCCATTCTAAAGTATGCAATTCAATAGTCTTAAGTATATTCACATTGTGTAACAAATCTCCAGAACTTTTTCATCTTGCAAAACTGAAACTCTATACCCATTAAACAACTCCTCATTTCCCCCTAGCCTCTGGCAGCCACTGTTCTATTTTCTGTTTGACTTCGACGACTTTGACTTTTAGTAGACTTTGACTACTCTACAGACCTTATGTAAGTGAAATCTCACAATATTTGTCTTTTTGTGACTGACATTTCACTTACTATAATATCCTCAAAGTTCCTCTGGGTTGTAGCATGTGACAAGATTTCCTGCCTTTTTTAAGGCTGAATAATATTCCATTGTATGTATAGACCACATTTGGTTTACCCATCCGTCTGGCGATGACAGACATTTGGGTTGTTTCCACCTTTTGGTTATTGTGAATAATGCTACGAACATGGATGTACAAATAGTTCTTCAAGATTCTGCTTTTATTTCTTTTGCATATAAACCCAGAGTAGAACGGCTGGATTATACGGTAGTTCTATTTCTAAGTTTTCGAGGAATCTCCATAGTTTTCCACAGTGGCTGCATGATTTTACATTCCCACTAACAGTGCATCAGGGTTCCAGTTTCTGTACATCCTCACCGACACTTCTTATTTTCTGTTTTAGTAATAGTAGCCATCCTAATGGGTGTGAGGTGGTATCTTATTGGGGTTTTGATTAGCATTTCCCTAACAATTACTGATGCTGAGCATCTTTTCATGCTCTTATTGGCCATTTGTATGTCTTCTTTGGAGAAATGTCTATTCAAGCCCTTTGCCCATTTTTTAATAAGGTTATTTTGTTGTTGTTGTTTTTGCAGTCAGTGAATCAAGTCCTCACTCTCTCATCTGCAAAATTCAGGAGGTGCTCTCCTGCTTAGAAATACTTAGGATAGAGAGAAGGTTGCTCTCAAGCAATCCTGAAGTTGGAAAGTAGTTGGAAAGGCACCATTTTATAAACCTCAGATATCCATTGCTATTGACGGTGCAGAACTCTTGGAGAAGTTTGGACATTTATGAAGTCTTTCATAAAGATATGATATTATTGTTATTGTTCTCCTTTATTTCAGTTCCACAACATTGACTGAGTGCCTCCTACATAGCAGGCGTTGTGCCATGAGTGTGCTAGAGTTAATATAACACACACTCAAAATATTTTAGCTCCATTGATCCAACACCCACCAGCTAGATTCTGGGTCACTATTTTTGGATGCATATATTCCTTTTTTTTCCTTAAAGATTGACACCTAAGCTAACATTTGTTGCCAATCTTCTTTTTTTGTTCCTCTTCTCCCCGAAGTCCCCCAGCATATAGTTACATGTTCTAGGCATAAGTCCTTCTAGCTCTGCTATGTGGGATGCCGCCTCAGCATGGCTTGATGAGCAGTGCCATGTCCGCGCCCAGGATCCGAATCGGCGAAACCCTGGGCCGCCAAAGCGGAGTGCACGAACTTAACCACTCAGCCACGGGCCGGCCCCCTGGATACACATATTCTTGAATGAGGAGTTTAAAAAGCTACTGATCTCTTCTGATCTTTCCTACCAATCTTCCCTCTCTATATGAGGAAGTATACATCCTTAAGTAAGCCAGATCTTTGGGTTGGGCTTCTCAATTTTCTCTAGCCCCATCCAGGTGAAAAACACATCCTATCTGAAAATCTAGTTTTTAAAAAATTCTTGGGGAAGTTTTCGAGAGTCCCTGCATGAGGCTATTCTAATCAGAAGTTCACAGCTTATTCAGGAAAAGACTTCATTCTGGCTGCAATTTGTTGATCATATACATAAATCTCAGCCTGCTTTAAAAAATGAACAACTATCCACAGGATTTTCTCCATTGGTATACATCTTCTCCAGACAATCAGAGCCTCTGGTCCATAACACCCTCCACCTATTTCTGAGTCCCAAATCTGAGCCTAAACCAAAATCCCCAAGAAGCCACTTACATGTGAAAATATTCTTAATCTTGGGCCTGCATTAGGAACAATGCATAATGCCAGGGCTGAGGAGATAACAGGACTAATGTGGGCTCTTGGTCTCACAGAGTGTTACTATTGGAAGGGCCCTGGAGGTGATCCAGTCACTGCCCTCATCTTACATGAGGAAACTGAGACCCAGAGGGCGGAGTCATTTCCTCAACCCGTAACAAGTCAGCAGGTCTCCAGGCTCAGCACAGGGTTTGTTTGATACCACACTTCTTTTTCCACTAATGTTCGTTTTCTGAAATGCTTCTTGATGCTTATTCTCCTATTTATTGAACATGAAAATAATAATATTGCTGAAAATCCTTGTAATATATGTTTGAACGCCTTAAATAAAAGGCTCTGCGTTAATAAAATCCCAGAGTTCAACTCAAGAAAAAGTTTTGCTAGAACTAGGACCAGGTGGCCAACTTCTAGAGAAAGTGCTTCCAGGCACCTCTGAATGACTTCGCAGACTTGAGAACAATGGCGGTCTAGAGGAGGAAGCCCAGTAAGCACCTTCTCTTTAGGTCAGGTCCCCTGTCTATCAACCCTCCCCGTCTCTCATGAGGGCTAGCACTTTGTTTTGTGTTAAGCAGGATTAAGGTGTTTTGGATTAAGACCTTGACTTCAACACAAACACATCTACCTCTCAGAACAACAACAGAGGTGAGTTTCATTTGGGGCTTAAGTTAAAAGTTTAGGCAGAAGTGATCGAAACAAAACCTAGACAGACTCCAGGGGAAGAGTCTAAGCCCAGATATGCCCCAGCACAGTGACACTTATTGCCACAGCATATCTGGAATCATCTGGATGACTAACACAACAGTCCATTATTTCAGGAAGGGCATAAAAATCTATGGGCCTCACACCACGTGTCACGTGGGTGAGGCAGCAAACTTGTAAGAATTTTTGCTTCTGCATTTCCTGATTTAGGAACAGGAGAGGTGGGCGGGGGTCTAAAACGCGTTATGCCTACTAGTGAATCTTTACGTCCCTGCCCTAGTGTTGGCCTCTACAATCTCATACACTGAATATGGAACCTATTCAAAGTCTTGTTCAGGTCGTCAAAGAATCAACGAAACCATGTCCCTTCTCTGATAGATAAACCAGCTTGTCCTGTATCTAGTTTTGTGGACCCATAAATTCATTAAAAATATCGAGGGTCACTTTCTCTGACACAAAAATTCTTGGTTTGGGGGGTAGTTAAAATGAAACTCAGAAATCCCATCCCCTGTGTGGGCATCTAAGACCCCGGAGCCTCATTCTAGAATGGAACATTGCCCTGGCTCCATATAACAAGTTGACAACCCAACAGACATTTGCTGGAGCCCCTTACACCACTCCGATAGTCATTCTATTTTATAAAAAAGTAAGTTTGTATCGGCACATATAGATATATTGATTATCAGCACAACTGGACGATACGATTTACATATACTCGAAGAGGCCGATGAGAAAGAAAAAGATCCTAAAACGAGGCTTAGGGAGGGCTGCCCTTCTAAGCGCAAAAGGGAGTAAGGAGCTGCGAGGGCGTCGGGCGGCCCTCCGACAGCTCCCAGTTCAGCAGCGAAGAGCGGAAGTGGAGGGAAGCGCCAATGTGTAAGCACTCACACTGGTGTCTGGAAACAACCAGAAGATGTTAGAGGGAAGTAGTAATGGATAAGTCTAGAACGAGGACTGGAAAGGGTCGGTGTCAAGCAAAGGCATGAATGAATAAAGCCGAGTTTCTCCATAATTTAAGGCACAAGACTGGAGAGAAAGGAATCGTAGGAAACAGTCTCACTGGGGAGAACTGGTGTGTGATAACCGAGCCGTGTTAAGGGGCATTAGGGACAGTTAAAAAAAAAAAAAAAGGAAGCAGAGTTGGACTGATGATTATTGAGACCTACTACTGGGAGGAGGGTCTGGCAAGGATAATAAAGGGAGAAGGGTGTAAAGTAAGGGTCAGGAATTGTCCGAGTAGACCATGGGAAAAGACTGTGCAGACGTCAGCAGCAAAGAAAAGGAAGGAACCGGGCTGGGGCGTGGCCCAGAAAGGGGACGGCTCCACAGCCGGCTACCAGGTGGAAAGGAGAAGGGTGGGGAAGCCCCGCTGACAGCTGCTCTCCGACGGCGCCTACAGGGTTAAGAGCCGGGGCGCCCAGACGAGGAAGAACTCGGTTTCCAGGGTAACGGCTCCGCCAGTTCCGGCGGCGCGGCCAGTACCACTGCGCGGGCGGCGGGGGGCGCCGAGAGGCGGAGGGCCGCGCGAAGGCACCGTCGAGCCGAGGGGACGGCCCGGACTCTACCAAACGCGCGGCCCGCCTGCCCGCCCCGGGGTCCGCGCCGAGCCGCGCTCCGGCCGCGGCGGCCGCGCGTCCTCCGTGCCGGGCCGGCAGCTCCCAACTGCCCGCGGCGGCGGGGGGAGTAGGGCCGTGCGCCCGGCGGCCCGGATTGGCCTCCCGGTCCCCCCGCTTGGGCGGCGGAGTGCGGGCGGCCCGGCTGGGAGCTTTGAAAAGCGGGCGAGACAAAGGCGGCAGGAAGCCTCCGCGGCGCCCGGAGCCCGTGCGCGCAGCCCCGGCCCTGGGCGGCCGCCGGCCGGCGCGGCGGCGGCGGCAGGAGGTGGCGATGCGGCAGGGGGCGTGGGAGCGGCGGCGGCGGAGCGGGCGGAGCGGCGCGGCCCGAGCGCGGCGCGGGTAGACCCCAGGCGGCGGCGGCAGCGGCGGCGGCGGCCCGGCCGGCTCGGGAGTGAGTGAGGGCGCCTTCCCCGCCCGGGATGTGAGGACCGAGCGGAGCCCGGGGCGGGGGGAGGGAAGGGAAGGGAGGCGAGGCCGGCAGGAAGGAAGGAAGGACGCACGGCACAGGAGGAGGAGCGGCGGCGGCGGCCGGAGCCGGAAGGCGGGGAGGGGCCGTCCGTTGGGCCCGAGGCGGCGGCGGCGGCGGCGGCAGCGGCGGCGGCGGCCGGGGCGAACCGCTCTCGTCGCCTCCCGGGGCCGGAGCGGCGGGGCCCGCGCCTCCTCCCCCCAGCGCCGCGGAGGGGGGAGGAGGAAGATGGAGACCCACATCTCGTGCTTGTTCCCTGAGCTGCTGGCCATGATCTTCGGCTACCTGGACGTCCGGGACAAGGGGCGCGCGGCGCAGGTGTGCACGGCCTGGCGGGACGCCGCCTACCACAAGTCGGTGTGGCGGGGGGTGGAGGCCAAGCTGCACCTGCGCCGGGCCAACCCGTCGCTGTTCCCCAGCCTGCAGGCCCGGGGCATCCGCCGCGTGCAGATCCTGAGCCTCCGCCGCAGCCTCAGCTACGTGATCCAGGGCATGGCCAACATCGAGAGCCTCAACCTAAGCGGCTGCTACAACCTCACCGACAACGGGCTGGGCCACGCGTTTGTGCAGGAGATCGGCTCCCTGCGCGCCCTCAACCTGAGCCTCTGCAAGCAGATCACCGACAGCAGCTTGGGTCGCATAGCCCAGTACCTCAAGGGCCTGGAGGTGCTGGAGCTGGGGGGTTGCAGCAACATCACCAACACCGGTCTCCTGCTCATCGCCTGGGGCCTGCAGCGCCTCAAGAGCCTTAATCTCCGCAGCTGTCGCCACCTCTCCGACGTGGGCATCGGGCACCTGGCTGGCATGACTCGCAGCGCGGCCGAGGGCTGCCTGGGCCTGGAGCAGCTCACGCTGCAGGACTGTCAGAAGCTCACTGATCTTTCTCTAAAGCACATCTCCCGGGGGCTGACGGGCCTGAGGCTCCTCAACCTCAGCTTTTGCGGGGGCATCTCGGACGCGGGCCTCCTGCACCTGTCGCACATGGGCAGCCTACGAAGCCTTAACCTGCGTTCCTGCGACAACATCAGTGACACGGGCATCATGCACCTGGCCATGGGCAGCTTGCGTCTCTCGGGGCTGGATGTGTCGTTCTGTGACAAGGTGGGGGACCAGAGTCTGGCCTACATAGCCCAGGGCCTAGATGGCCTCAAGTCCCTCTCTCTCTGCTCCTGCCACATCAGTGACGATGGCATCAACCGCATGGTGCGGCAAATGCACGGGCTCCGCACGCTCAACATCGGACAGTGTGTCCGCATCACGGACAAGGGCCTGGAGCTGATTGCCGAGCACCTGAGCCAGCTCACTGGTATAGACCTGTACGGCTGTACCCGAATCACCAAGCGCGGCCTGGAGCGCATCACGCAGCTGCCCTGCCTCAAAGTACTCAACCTGGGACTCTGGCAGATGACGGACAGTGAGAAGGTCAGGTGAGGGCGGCAGCACCACCTCCCCTTGTCCCGCCCTGTTCATCCTCCCGTCACCACCACGGCCCTCCCCCCGCCCCCGCACTCGACACGCACACTTATACATAGATCCTTGCGGTGGATGAGATGGGGGCAATGACACGAAGCCTCAGGCTCATTCTCTTTTTCCTCCTCCAGCACCCTCGCCCACTACACGCCCATTGTCATTGCATCTCGGGTTCCTGTGCTACCCCGGCGGTACTCCCCTCTCTTTTTCCCTGAGGATGGAGAGATGGACTCAGCTACTTACCCACCCACTCCTCCCTGCAGAGGGATGGAGGACTGACTGAGCCACTGTATCCCCACTGCGTTCCATTTGGAAATGGGGATGTGGAGTGACTAGTCCTTTAGACCCTGGGGAGCTGAGGAAATGTCTGCCTTCACTTAAGCTTTCATTTAAATACTGTGATCTGGTTTTTATTTTGAAATGTATAAAAAGCAAACCCAACTACAACGGCCTTTTCACCCTTCTTCCACTTTGTACCTAAGGAGTCTCCTCTCATCACTCCTTTTACAGTACTCTGCTATTCACGCTCATTTCGTTTTTATTGTCTTTCTTTTCCTTTTTTTATTTTTTGAAGAAATTTGAAATCATGGTCCTTTTTGTCTGCTGAATATATTCTCTATATTATATATATATAAATTATATATATATATATATATATATATATGTCTGGCTACCTCGTTTTAGTTTACTTTTTTCTCTGAAGCCCTGGAATTCTACAAGAGAGATATTTTGAGACTGCAACATTTTTGTGCCTAGACTGGAAAGATGCCCCTTGGGTTTGTACGTCCTTTTTGTTTTGGCTTCTTCCCAAACCCCATCCATCCAATGTGTCCCATTTCCACATTCTGGCTATAATTTTCTTTTTCTGCTTGTCCGATGGGGTTTTAGGGCCCAATGGTGTTCTAAATCCTGACTTAATTTATAGCACAAATGTGTGGGAGAAATGAATCGAACTGTTTTGTTTGTTTGTTTGAGATGCAGATTGTGTCTTGAAAAGATTATTATATATGCAAATTCTGCCTACCCTCACCCTCTTCCAAGTTTCTCCACAAGAAGGTCACACAGTGAGGCTCCTGGTGGAAGCAGACGGGCAGAGCTGGCCTGCAGAGCCCCTGGGGCTGCAGCGTGAAGGGGAGGAGACTGACATTCACGTCTTATCTCTGTTCTGTTAATAAAATGGGAGTTTGTGGGTTTTAAAAAATTCTGTTTCTAAATGGAGGAATAGGTGACTTTATTTTGGTGGGGGTTGGGACTTGTGGCTTTAAAAAAATCGCTTTTGAGTAGGATGTATATTTTTGTTGGATTTTTTGTTTGTTTATTTTTTTAGAGTCCTCCACAGCAACATGTGAGATCATGGAGTTAAAGAAACCCAGAGACCTTTATCAATTAATTGTACTGTTTGTGAATTTGTATAAATAATAACAAAGATCCTCTTAAAACGTTTATATTCTTACAGTAAAAGGTTAAACTGATATTTATATAATAAAAGAGGAAATATGAAGTATGTTTTTGAAAAAAAACAAAACAAAAAACCTTGTATCTGTGGATTATTTTTAAGGCAGTGTGTGTTTGGGAACGTGCCAGAGTAGGAGGTGCTGTTCGTGTCCTCTACAGCGAAGGGGAATAAGGCACAGAGTTTGGTGCGTCCTATGTGGTATGAGTAAGCTCGTGGTTAAAAACTTATTCTGTATAAGGTTTACTACTGACATCTAAATGTTTTGTTTCTAGAAATGTGATTAGACTGCAGATTTATATAATTTTTTGTTTTAAACTGTCAACAATATGGAAGTTTAAAGAAATTGAACAAAATGAAACATTTTTAAAGACCAGATTTGTAAGAGTCACAATTTCCCCACGGTGGCCAATTTTTCTTTGGATGGAAATGAGCTCTAGGGGTAATGTTGCAAAAATGGGTCATGAGATGTGGAAGTCGGGGAGAAAGATGGGATTCTTTACACTTTGAGTGGGTGTGGGGAGGATGTGAAATGGTGAAGGGTGGAGGGAACTGAAGCCATTGTTCAGAAAAGTTAAAAGAGCGCGGTCCTTGCTTGCTGGCTCCCTTGCTCAGTCATGCATACTGAATCTCACAGTGTGAGTGAGGGTCCTACTGGAAAGGAGGAGGGCAGTTCCAGCCCTCTTTAACATTCTCCTCCAGGCCTGGCTGGATTTAAGCACTTTCCTGGGGGATGGGGAGCTTGGCCAGGAGTTCTGCACATTTGCATTTTAAGCACTTCCAGTGCTGAAGCTGCCCACTTGATCCACCCTGGTGAGGGTTCTTAGGCTGAATTTGGGGCAGATAAATGAATACCAACAATTCGAGCAAAGAGTTCCCTTTGGTAGACAATAACTAAATCCTCTGACCCCCTGTGGTTGGGCTTCCATCCTGTGGAAGAGCATAAATGCTCAGACAGTACAGTAAGTCATACTCCTCGGTTTCGGTCTTTCTTAGTTTGAGATTTTTTTTTTTTAGAAAAAGCAAAAAATACTCATCTCAGCAAAAGCTGACAAGAGTAATATAAAGCTTTCCTCGATCCCCACCTCCTTCCAGGACGAGAACTAGAACCCAGGTTTCTCTTGGAGTAAGATTGTTTTGCAAAATTTCCAAGCTTTCTGCTTGTGCATATCACAAAAGCTTCATTGTCCCTTTTTGGAGAGCCATCACAATTGGGTCTAATTGAGCCTGACACTAGATCCATCTTCCTTTTCTTTGAGAAGGTGTGGACCTCTTTCTTCCCTCTTAGGTTACAGTACTTATTGCCTGAAAAAAAAAATGTGTGAACCCTAGTAAGAAGTAGGGACTTTGAATTAGGTCAGCTTTCTAATTTACATTTGACACTATGGTGCAGGAAAGTTACACAAGCTGTAGGTTCTGAGACTTTTTCTTCCTCCAAGAGACTGCATGGCTGTACAGATCCAGTCAGTTGAAACTGGAACACCTCCTAAGTCTCAGCCTCTGTTCTCACATTCTTCATTTTAATACACAAAGCAATCTAGCAACTCTAACTAAAGGGTTTTCTGCTTTTCTGTTTCTTTTCTTTCTTTCTTTTTTTTTTTTTTGAGGAAGATTGGCCCTGAGCTAACATCTCTGCCCACCTTCCTCTATTTTATATGTGGGACGCCTGCCACAGCATGGCCTGATAAGTGGTGCATAGGTCCATGCCTGGGATCCGAACTGGAGAACCCTGGACCGCGAAGCAGAGCACTGGAACTTAACCGCTGCGCCACCGGGCTGGCCCCTTGCGTTTTACTTCAAAGGTTAACTATAAGCTTGACTGAGGGTCAGTAAGTTAAAGCTTGAAAGTTAAGACCACGGGCCTAGTATCATCATCCTGAATTGGGCATTCTTGAGGATACATCTGGAGCATCTCTGGAGAAAAATAAACCACTTACTTTCATCAGTCAAGGTTAACTGCCTACCTCTCAACCTGTTTGGATGAAGAGAAATGAATATGGTGTGCTTTGCGTGGTACTTGCAAGTTTCTCCTTTTAGTCCTCAAAGCAGTCTGCTAAACGGGTATCCTGTTTTCCAAATAAGGCATACTACTGGCCTTAAGTTACCCAGCCACGAGGGGAACCAGGACTCAAACTAGGTCCAGTTCCAAAGTCCAGCTCCCTTCTGCGCTATTAGAAGGCTCAGTTACTGATCACACGTTGGTTTCCAGTGGGGTGACCTCACAGAAGTGAGTGGTAGCTGTTTGAACACAGTATGGACAAGCTCATGCCGCAGGGCACTACTCTAAACAGAATATGGGTGGACTGATTCCATCTCCACCATACCCAGAAATGCTTTCTTTTTTTTTGAGGAAGATTAGCCCTGAGCTAACATCTGCCGCCAATCCTCCTCTTTTTGCTGAGGAAGACAGGCCCTGAGCTAACATCCATGCCCATCTTCCTCTACTTTATAAGTGGGACGCCTGCCACAGCATGGCTTGCCAAGCGGTGCCATGTCTGCACCCAGGATCCAAACCGGTGAACCCCGGGCTGCTGAAGCAGAACGTGCGAACTTAACCGCTGCACCACCGGGCCGGCCCCCTCAGAAATGCTTTTAAAAAACAGAAGCATCAAAGAAAATCACCTGATACATATTTTATGGGTGGTACAAAAGTTAAAAGGCACTTCAGGGCAATTTTTAGAATAAGAAAAAACCTGATTGAGGCATCTGCTGAAACTTCAGAACTGAAAAACCAAACTAGGAACTTAGTGTAAATTTTATCATCGAGAAGTAATCAGCCTCATAGAAACTGTAGGGTAGTAGTTGGGAAACGGCTGTGCATACCTGTCTTTTCTGTCTCACTGGGCAATAGCCCTTTAATGTTTGTACTGAAAAGATGATCTACAAAGGCAACCGTGGGATTCAGACAGTGTCTGCAGACCCCTAAGGACCACGATAGGCCTCCAGCTAAGAGTGTAGGGCACTGTTGCATAATTCTCCCTGCCATGGACTCCTTCCTGCCGAAGCCCTCAGTCCTAAGTTTGGGGCAGGGCCCGCTTGATTTATTATTCTACATCTGGCAACAGTGACAAGGATGCTTGCCTGAGGTACAGTACACCCTTAAATAGTTATGAAAACTCAAACTGATCATATTCTTTCGTGATTCAAATCAACAAAAAGATCTGAAAAAGCAAATGTTCCTTTTATTGGAGTTTCTTTTTAAAGGTAAGAACTTTCTCTTAAATAAGGACATGGGATCTGTAAATCGAAGCCTGGCCCATCCCCAAATCCTGGTGCTCTCCTGCAGGGGCTACTAGACAGACACTGGTCTTGGAATAGAAGTAAAACCTCTCACTTTTGACTTAGAGAATTTGGACTCAAGTTTTCAAAGGAGAAAGGGCAGTGGCCCCCCAGGGAACACTGTGTTTCCAAAGAATAAGAACCTCTTGATTAAAAGATCAGATCTGTAAACAAATCAAGACCTCACGCCGCTTCTGACACCCGTCTCGTCGCGGTCCACGAAAGGAGAGCCCTGGCCTCCACTCTCCGCGGCTCGGGTGCAGCAGTCATCCAGGGGACGTCCCCTGTTGTCTTTCTGCTCCCCGTGTCAAACTTCACCCCCTTTTAACGGTCAATTCTATGCCTTTAGCAGAGGGCGAGACCTACATTCTGTGCCACTGTGAACCCCTGAGGAGACCGAGGTGAGGCTTTCTGATGAAATAATGTGATCATGGGTAAGGCACAGGATTAGCAATTGGAAAGCTCCATTCAAATTGAAGCTGATGCTTGGGCCACATATTTATCTCATCTTTGTCAGTGTACTTGTTCAAATGTTAGGTAGCAAGTTAAATTTTTTGAAAAGTGAATGTCAAACAGATGAGACGTTCATATTTAGATCAGTGCCAACTATTAATAATTTAGAACTTACAAAGGTAAGTGCACAGCTGGAATAAAAGCATACACTCTGAGGTCTTGGATTGAAAACGGCTATTTCTAGATAATTGGTCAATTTAAATGTCCACAAATGATCAGTTTTAGTCTTTTCCTCTTTTCCAGGGCTTGCTCTGATTCTGCCTGGTGGAGCTGACTGTTCCGACCCCGAACATTTGGTAGATATAAAGCCGAGTCTTCCAGCTAAGGTGCAGAGAAAATAAGAGATGTTAACTGCACAGCACTAGGGTGGGGTATGTTAGCATCCCTCTAAATAAAACAAAATAGAACTGGAATTCCTCTGCCTGCATTTGTTAACCTAGAAAAGTGTACATACGTTCTTTAAAAGAGAAGACAAGTGGGCCGGCCCCATGGCCGAGTGGTTAGGTTCGCGTGCTCTGCTTTGGCGGCCCAGGGTTTCACCGGTTCAAATCCTGGGCGCAGACATGGCACTGCTCGTCAGACCACGCTGAGGTGGCGTCCCACATGCCACAACTAGAAGGACCCACAACTAAAAATACACAACTGTGTACCAGGGGGCTTTGGGGAGAAAAAGGAAAAATAAAATCTTGGGAAAAAAAAAAAACAGAAGACAAGTTTTTATTATCTCATTACTCTTCCACTTGAATTGTTAAAGGAACAAATGCCACCTATCCTTGTAAGTTTGCTTTTCTTTGTGTAGTGGACAGCAGTCTCAATTACAGAGAAGAGGAGGAGGAGGTCTTGTGTGGAGCAGGAGAGAAACCCAGGTGACAGGTGCTAGGGACGTGAACGGGATCTGCTGGCAGAGTTCAGTCATAACATGGTGTTCAATTTCTCCGTCTCAAAATTTTTGTTTTACCAAATCTGGCCAATATTGTACATTTAATTTTATAAATGAGGAAAGAGGCTTGACAAGTGAAAAGATCCTGTCTGGGTGATGTGAGGGGTCGCTATCAGAACCAAGGCTGCTCCAGACTTCAACCACGAATCAGAGAGCGATCAACATGCAGGCAGCTCTTTGATCCCTCCCTGACACACAGCAAAGCATCAGCACCCTGACCTCTTGCTTCAGAAAGGTGCCAAACTAGAGGATATTATTTTCATTTGGAGTAAAAAAAAAAACCCCAAATGCTTAAAGTTATTATTACTATTTAATAGGCATATAAATTATGCAAACTCAGTTATCTT